CTGCTGAACTGGGTCAGCTTTGTCTTATTTGTCCTTAGCAGGAGAAAAACATGTTATTTCGTGTTTGCAATTTGAGCAGCCTGAGAGGTACTGGAATGAAGCCAGGGTCCACCAGACCTGAGTCCCTGTAGCTGGGTTTGTTCTCCTTTATGCTGAGAGGTCAGAATATAAGAAAGTGACTTTGAAAGTGCTATACATCCTCTACTTGAATTCCAGCAATGGCCCCAAGAGAAGCCCAAGAGCATCTATTGATTACAGGGTTTTTTTCAAAGGCATTTTTTCAATACCAGGACCAAGAAAAGTGCAGTAACGTGGGGAGAGTTTGAGTGGCACACCAAACTAAAACCACTTCTTCCCTTTTGACAGTACCTTGTCCCCCAGCATGCTATGTAAATTTGTGGTTTTGGGGTTTTTTTGCAGTATCTAGATATCAGTCCTTTTCCATTTTATTTCCTATTTCAGGAGAATAGAGCAGCTTTCACCCCTCAGGAGCCTGCTGGCTGGCAAGCCTCAGAAATTGAAGGGCAGCCTTAAACATAACTACTTTCAGAGGCAGAAAACAGATTCCCTCTTTCTTTGTCTCCTGCAGCACCATCCCACCAGGCATCCCAATTTCTCTGTGCTGCTTGTGGACAGACACGTGTCAGGGTCTGGTGTGTGTGAGCAGGTTTTTTCCTACACAAGTACTTGAGAGAGGATAATATGAGTTTGCTGGAGAGATCCTAAATTAAAAGAGAGGAGATAGAAAAAGATGAGATGGAAGGAAGACATTTTTTACACCGAGGGTGGTAAAACACTGGCCCAAGTTGCCCAGAGAGGTGATAGATGCCTCATCTCTGGAAACATTCCAGGTCACGTTGGACAGGGCTCTGAGCAATCTGTTCTAGTTCAAGATGTCCCTGCTCACTGCAGAGGAGTTAGGCTAAGGGACCTGTAAAAGTCCCCTCTAATCCAAACTGTTCTATGATTCTATGATCCCACGTCCAGCACCAGGTGTGGATAGGCTTTCAGTAATATTTCACCATTTCATCAGTAATGTTTCATCATTCTCTGTGGAAGAGAGGAGGTAGGCCATCTTGCTATATTTGATAAATGTGTGATAGGTGTGGGCCCAAGGAACTTTGCATTTGGTGGATTTTTTCATACCTGACAGCTGAACAGGACTCTCTTGGTCATTCATTGCAAGCAGCAAAGTGAAAATGAGTGCAAGGAGAGAGAGAACCCACCCACCAGAGTGTACAAAGAGAGGAACTGGGTGGTTTCAAGAAGGATTGAATTGTGTGGAAGAAGAGGGACAAGCTGAATGTAAAGGGTCCAAGACTAACAGAATGAGGAAAGGTGGAGGGAGGTTGAAGGCTATTCTTGTTTAGAGGGAAGAAGATACATTTTGTTTCAAAAGGAGCACAGGAAGTATGGGAAGATAGAGAAAAATATGGATAAAATATAGATAGACTGAAAAATTGCAGTGCCTTGAACCTGACCAAATGCAGGCTTTGCTGTCTGAAAGCAGCTTCTTTTCCCAAAATTAACGTGGCATCTACTGATGAGAAGAGGCTGAGAGCCTTTTCCTTTGAGCAATGTAGAATCATAGAGCAGCCCAGGTTGGAAGTGACCTTGAAAGACCATCTGGTCCAACCTTTTGTGGGAAAGGGAGCCTTTGTGAAATTACATAGCACCCTGTCCCATCGTAGGTAAAAACCTCACTTTCTTCTTGAAGAAGTGAAAGAGATGTGAGATTTTTGAGACTAAAAGATTACCAATTAAATAATATTTTTCTTTGATGGCCTAATTCTTTTGAGTCTGACAGTTAAAAAGTCACATACTTGAGCCTGGCTGAGTCACCTGGAGCCAATAAAACACTTGCTTTGTCGTTGTTCTGTGTAGGAAAGAACAGGAGACCTTGTTTGTCCCCAGTTTGCTGATTTCTGTGTTACAGGAGACAGCTGTGGGCAACATCTGTCACCTGTCCCAAACACAGCTTGTGGAGGTTTGCCTTGTGGATATGTTCAAAATCAGCTGCATTCGATTCCTATCCTAGCGAAACACAGGTGGTGGGAGAGAGGGCTGGCCCCAGCTGGGTCTCACTGTCACTAGACCTTTACTGATGTACAGCTCTAGATCTGATGGTTCCATCCACGCCAAAAGAATTTTCACTTTGAGCAAATTCTACCAGTTACCAACCTATAATGTTCTTAACCAGCAGGGTTTCACTCGCATGTGCTCAGGAAGTCTCTGGGCAGCAGTGCCCAGGGTACGGTGGCTCCATGCAGCAGTTCTGCAAAGGAGCAGAATAGATTCGGCCAGGATTAAGAACCTCTGTGTTTGTTTTGATCATGCCAAAGAATATATATACATGTATGTCTGCAAGCCCTGGAAATAATTAGACACGACATACTTTGTTTAAAATGCATGTTATGCTCAAAGTAATTTAAAGGACCATAGGAGAAAATCAAACATGCGGGTGTTGAAACATTCCTGTGATTTCCCCACACGTACTGATGCACACACCCCTTTGTATGTCAGCAGTCAGCATACTTGTCTTTCACTACTGGTAACACAGCAGTAGCTCTTGATGATAGCAACAAGGGGAGAACTACGAGGAAAGGTTGAGGACTTACCTGGGAAAGAAAAGGCAGAGGGGTGACATAAGGCAGCCTACTGCAATGGAGAGAGGAATTATGAAGATGGTGGAGCCAAACTTTTCCCCGTATGGCAGATGCTGTAATGAGGCAGCAGCTGCAGGTTGCTGCTTGGGAGGATTTTGATGAACACAAGGAAAATTCCACTCAGTGGAAAAGTAATGCAGCACTGAGTTGCCCAAAGAGGTAGTAAAATCCTCATCGCCAGAGGTTTTTGAGTCTTAGCTAGACACAGACCGAGTTAGGCAGACCTGGTGTTGGCAGCACACCCACATCGAGCAGGAGGCTGGCTAGATGATCTCCAGAGGCTCCCCCCAACTCATGTGGCTTTGCTCTGTGATTGTTCGTTGAACAATTGTAGTTCAGAAGACAGAATACGGGAAGATTTAGTATTTTTAGATCCTAAGTAGGTTTTTTGAGTTGAGCTTTGCTTTAAAGCAATACGAGAACTGATAGCTGAAGTCACTAGTGTGTGAAACCTTTGGAAATGTTCAATTCTGGCTAGTGAGGCTATTGAAATTACAAATTATTTTAAGACTTAACATGCTATATCTAAATTAAAAAGGAAAACCTGGCTGCAGCTGTGGGTGCAATAGCTCAAAATAAAAGACATCTTGTACACTTCATCTGACCAAGAATGAAAAACATGGCATGTAAAGGGGAGGCAGGAACAAATACTGATAACTAAGACTACTCCTTATTAAGTGATAATTGTGGGGTTCAGGGTCTTTTGTATAATAGTTGGAACTCATTGAAGTGCACCTGTAATGGGAGTAGTGCTAATTACTACAATTTGAAGCTATCACATACTGGAACTGTCATTGAGAATCCTGCCCTGTCTTTGTTGCTCCTCAGAGGAATCCCAAGACAACGTGCT